AACTACCCCCTGGCATGAGCGGTGTTCACCCTGTCTTCGATGTCGAATACTTAAAAAGAATACCATGAGTCACCTCCACAATTTGCCGACCGCCCGTATCCTAGACCTCCACCAATCATGCTACCTACCGAGCCAGAATTCGTGGTAGAATCTATCGTAGGACGAAAAACAACTCAAGTATCCGATCACCCGGAACCAATCACTGAATACAAAGTCAAATAGATCGGATACCCAAATGAAGAATCTACATGGGAACCCTCAACAACCTGAAGAACACCAAGAAAGTTGTTCATGCCTATGATCGTGCTCACCCTGTATCTTAGCTATATACTACGCATAACACCCATATACCCTGCATAAACCCTGACTCATTGCTCTACACACGCCCCCTGCACACAACAAAACCCCTTCCCCTCGACCTCTCTCTGTCTGATCCGCTCTTGCCTCCGTCTCGTTCCCCAATCTGTCCTCTGCCACATCCTCCGTCTCTCTTGTCCAAGCCTTGCCTGTGGCTCCTGCACATCACCGGCCATAAAGGATCTAATGGCAAGCGCACGAGGACGATGGCCTGCTGCAGCACAGTTCAAGGAGATTAAACAGCTGGTTGGCCACCATGCTGTCCCATTGGCCGGCACCTAGACTCGCAGACTTCTGGATCAGCACTCTTGACAAGGACATCAGGATCAGTCTGTGACCTGCTATCCGGATCAGACTTCATCATCAGGATCATGTACGGGACGGACCCTGGCACTTGGACCTTCATCTATTGTACTGCTACACTACTACTTTCAAGCTGGAACCCTCGCTACTACACGTCGCAAGCCTGCTGGAGACTGGTTTATCATCAGCATTCTGAACCTGGACTTACTTCAAGACCTGCTTCAAGACTCTCAGCCAGACCATTTTGCAGAACCTGTGATTCCTTCCCCAACCCCAGTCACTTGGAGATCCTCAGAAACCCCAACCCCCGAACACTGCAAAATAGCTTTCCTTTATTTTTGCTCACAGAACCCTTTCGCCCAATAGTTCATCAGTATGAAAACGTCGTTCCCCCCTCAGATCATAAGCCTGTAGTCCATCAGTGGGACAACCCTGTTCCCCTGGAGTTCCTAACCCTGTAGTTCATTAGTAGGCAAACTCTCCTCCCTCTCAGTAGTCCATCAGTAAGCATACCCCGTCAGTAGGAAAACCCTGTTTCCCCCAGCCCTTGCGACCCACATTATACCCCTCTCCCTTTTTCTTCCTGCTTCCCAGTGATCGACCCCGCCCTGTCCTTCACAGGATTCAGCATTATTTTCATGACTTTTGGCAGCCGAGATGTTGCCTTCTAGAGGGAGGGGATAGTGTTACGGAATCTGCCAGGGCTCGATCCCTGGTCTGCGGATTACTACCCGCCAGCTTGCTGTAGTTATTTCTTTATTTATTTATAATTTTTTTTTTTTTTTTTTTTTTT